ACACCATCCCTATATCTTTGTTTTATTGTTTATAAGCAAAGTTTAATATCAAACAATATCAAACAAAGATATAGGGATGGTGTCATGTAGCTTTGTGCAACTTTGCTGTGTAATGACCCCTTGTTTCTTCCTTTTTGGTGCTTCAAGCCATCCCTATATCCCCCTTTCATTTTGAAGAAATGATTTTTCCACTTGTATAATGTTTCAAAGAATGATTCCACACTAGCTCTCTCATCAGAGAAATAAGAATCCAAGCACTTAAGTAAAAGCAATGGTATAGATGGTGGGAGAAACCGCAGCAAAATGTTTATTCGATATTCGTGTGATACTGTTTTAATTGCAAAGAAAGTATAATCCATATGTTTGCGGCTGATAAACAGCGTAAACATGTGCAAAACGTTGTGTACCTCATTATTTAAGATCTCCAGTTCCAAACCAATTCCATCGTCTGGAATAGCTTTTTAAAGTAACTGGGCAAAGTGGAGTTGGTATTGGCTATTAAAATAGTACTGTAATTTTTCAGCATCCTTGCCATCACTTAATCATGGTCCAAATGAATTCAACATTTTTCACTGAACGTGTCCCGCGATGGTGAAGATGTGCATCGTCTTGAAGCGATCATTATTTGATTTCCGCCAAGCGCTATGAAATATACTGCAGGACAATGACAGCAGACAGAAAACTACGCCATTTTCTCGGTTGGAGGCGCGCCGGCGAGAGATCTGCGGCCCCGCAAGACCCCACCCACTTGCGCGTGCGCTTACGCGCTCATATAGACCGCGTGGTCGTCGTGGCTTCTCGCTCTCGTCGTTGAGCTCTGTTTGCCTCGTTGTTTATGCCAGTGAACTTTACGTTTTTTCCCGGGTTTTCCACTGTGCTCCCGAGTCTATTTACCACCAATTTCTTTTTTGGACTACCTGCTATCAGTCTTGTTGGTAAGAAGGAACTATTGTGTGCACAATCCAGCTCACATTGGGAATTTTCTTTATAGGTTCCCTACGGCACTCCGTGTCTGTATTATCCGCCGTGGCTGCTATTTTTGTCTTCGTGCCACGCCCTTTTTGTTCAGAGGTAAGTGTAGTTACGTATGACGAATAGTACTGTACATCATCCTGTATTATGTGTATTATACTCCTATAGCTCTGTATTCTACTGGCCCCTGCTGCTACCAACTTGTATTTGCGGATTTGGGGACACAGCTACTCATTTTATATCGAAGGTAACCTTTGCCAAATTGTCTGCATTTCATCATGACCTTTTTTGCTTTTTAGTTGTATATTACGAGGTGGCACTCGACACTCCTTTCGTGCCTGGGTGTACCCACTGGCCCTGCTGCACTTTGTTGGAGTTCGTGCTGCATCTTGTGGTCGTCATGGAAACGATGTAATACACATGCGCACCAAGTTTCATCTCCATGCGTGATACTGTTAGCGAGTTTGAGGAGTGAAGAAGTAATTTTAAAGAAAAGTGCCTGAGGCTATTTGTTGTTGTGGTCGTCAAGGAAACGATGTAATACACATGCGCACCAAGTTTCATCTCCATGCGTGATACTGTTAGCGAGTTTGAGGAGTGAAGAAGTAATTTTAAAGAAAAGTGCCTGAGGCTATTTGTTGTTGTAGTTGTCATGGAAACGATGTAATACACATGCGCACCAAGTTTCACCTCCATGCGTGCTACAATTAGCAAGTTTGAGGAGTGAAGAAGTAATTTAAAGAAAATTGCCTGAGGCCTTTTCGAACAATATGCGGTCGTCATGGAAACATGTAATCGTCATGGAAATGATATAATAGGCATACGTACCAAGTTTCATCTCTATGCGTGCTACCATTGGAAAGTTTGAGAAGTGAAAAAGTTAATTTAAAGAAAAGTGCCTGAGGCTATTTGTTGTTATTTACAAACATGTATTGTTGGGATTTTGATGTTGGCTATTGAATACATTGTGTATACAAACTTTCGCTCGCATAACTCTTACCAATTGTGAGTTACACTGACACATGTAGTATGCCCATTATAACGTATTGCCCATTATAATGTATTGCCTGGGGCAATGTTGTTGTTGTTTACAGTAAACAACATTGTTTACAAACAAAAAAGTATGACGTTGCCCATGTGGTTATCGATATGTACATTCCTACAAAATTTCATGGCTTTATCTCTTTCGGATTTTGAGTTACGCTGGTCGAAGAAGAAGAAGAAGAAGAAGAAGATGATGAACAAAACTCCCTATCATAGCCCCATACATCTATGTCAATCCCTATATAGTAAGTACTACCGTACTTAGTGATACACTCTTCATCTGTCGTGACTGCAGAAGCAGTGGAGGAGAGTGACAGAGAGGAGGTGCTACTGGTATGGGTGTTGGTCCCAGTGCTAGGTGTGGTGGTCCTGGTGGCTCTACTGGTCCTGTCACGATCATTGTGTGGAGGGTTTGGAAAAGGTGTGCACTCATTTCTATCCTCCACCAGCCATGGTTATCCCATAGAGTGCTGTAGTAGTGCACTAAAATTTAATGTAGTATTGTGTATGATTCATACACAGTATTACTGTTTCTATGCAGTGTTACCTACATTCCTGATGGTGTTTTACAATTACTTAGAGAATGCAGGTTCACACTTCAGTCTAATTATAATTACATCACCCCATTTTTAATTAACCTAAGTAGACATGTACTAGTTCAGGGGAGAAGATCAGACAACCCTCCGTTCTTTCAATCCAGATATGTGGCCACTAGGGTAAACTGGTTAGACAAGTAGTTTTCTCAATGAATTCACACTTCACAAGAGTATGTTCATTTCTACTTTGCAGTGCAGAAAACTGTGCCTCTTTATAGTCCAGTTTGTAAGGAACAGGGAAAAGTAGAGTGTAAAAAAACAATCTGAGATATCAATCTTAGTGCCATAGGTTTACTCCTGTCAGTGGTTATAGTACAAGTGGAAAAAT